CATATTAAGTTGTTTTCCAATAACTCCAAGAGCTACAAAGCTCATATCTGGTCCTCCCCACGGTCTTGATGGATAAAATTTCCAACTTTATCCATTAATACATCTCAATAAGTCAAGATCTCAAATCCTAAGTCCTTAAAGGCAACTCAATGCATGAAAACACCTAATAAGCACTTAATCACTAGAGCTACTTCTCCAAAGTTTCTAGAAGGGTTTCCTAAACCTAATGGACCATAAAAATCATAGATTTATTGACATGCATGTCCTTTCTATTTTAGGTCAAAAAACATGGCAAATGTGTACTCAAAGCTTGTGCATGGGACCAAAACTCCAAGGATCCTCAGATCTGTAACATATAGCACTAAGATGACCACAAGGATCCATAAAGTTGCCAACTTTATGGAATCCACCCTTCCAAACTTCCAAACCATGAAGATTAAGGGACAAAAGGCCTAATATAGAAGCAAGTAACAAAAAGATTAGATCTTGAGCACTTACAAAGGTCTAGAGAATGCACAAGAGAATGATGATGAGTCTTTCTTGTTGCATTAACACATTATAACACTTTATTCTTCTTCTTCTAGCCATCAGAGGTACCAAAATGAACCAAAACTCTCAAAGGGAGGCTAGGGTTTTGAGGTAGAGGGTTGGAGGCTGAAGAGGATTCCCTAATCCTCTGAAACGTTACTTAAATATGGGAGGAAACCCTAAAATCACGGGCTTAGGCCAGAACAGCTGCCACGTCGTGGCCAACCTACTGCCACGCCATGACACTCATTAAAAAAAATCGCTTTCCATTTATTCCATGTCATGTCATAGGCATCCTTGCACCATGTTGTGGCACAAAGTTTTATCCCAAAACTCCATCTTTCGTCCTTGATAAATAACAAGCTAAACCAATATAAAACATAGGTGTTACACCCGCACCCTCTATTGGGCGCTAAACGCCCACTATAAGACGCGTCATGTCTTACCTGATTCAACAACTTATTGTTTACTTAATCCATTAAGTCCAAGCTTCCAACTCTCATATCTGAATCTAAATGATGTCTTAATGGATAAAGCCCTAGTTTCCAAAAAGTCCAAGATTGTATTTTTCTCTAAGCATGGAGTACAAAGAGCATATACATGTACTCAAAACTCCACATAAAGGTCAGATCTGAGGCCAAACATGATTCTATGATCATGGAGTTATCCAAACTCCATAGATCAAGCCATCAAAAGGGACCAAAACATCAAATAATAGACTAAAACTCAAAATACGTATAGATCTAAAGGTGAAAATTAATAAAGTTTGAATCTTTAAGACATACCAAGGTCCAGAAGATGAATGAAGGTTGATG